TGGCTTTAGTATTACGTTTAGGTTGACTCATTCCACCAGACATCCTGCCTTGTTTCGGGTGAAAACGGGTTAGGCTTTCGTCCAACATATGATGGAAATCATCAGAGCTATAACTCATTCTGATAAAAGTCTCACATCAACACTAGATCAAGAGGAAAATCTGGCTCTATCTCACCTTTTATATAAATTCATGGCTTAAAAACAAAAATGAGTAGACAGAGAAAGACATAGATTGGTTTGGCTAATTATCTTTCCTACAGGTCATGCTACTTTTGCCCGAGTGTGTGTATGTGTTTTAAGGTCTATACACAATACATGTTCTAAAACAAAGTTATCAAAAAAGCTTAATGTCAGTCTCTGGCTGTCAAGACTTTCTGATCAAAGAGAGGCTTTGCATAAGACTGCGTAAGTCAGTAAGCAACGATTGCTGAGATAATGAGATGTAGGCTTGTAAGCGTGTAAGTCAGGTTACTAAAAAACCTAACCTCTCTTTCCGAACTAAGCTACGAGCTCGTCAAAAGTGAATGGAAAAATTCACTGATGATGCTGACTACGATGCAGGCGGAACGTTTGTGAATGTACCAAGTCTACTGTCTAATGCTGGGAATCATGACAACTACTATTGCAGACGACTTCGGACAATGTGCGTTCTACTAAGTCGCCCTGACAACAAGACCAAGTTGTGACAACGAGGTCAACCCACTTTTATACACCGAAGGGAGACTGCGACCATACCGGAGGCCACAACATCTTAATCTTCATATCTTCAATAATATCATAACATTCTAGCCACATATGCAGTCAGCAGAAAGTCGGCGATAGGAAAAGAATAATAAAACTTTTGATGAATATGTTGATTTTATTTCATAAGATGACATCTTATATGTTTTTTTCAGATGCGCTCAACCGTTATTGTGTCTACTTGGCCTGTAGCTTGGGTTGGGGGCTTACCGTGGGAGGGCTGCTATACGTTGGAAGGGGATAGGACCACCATTGCCGGAATGTGGACTATCCTACCGCGAACCATTCCTATTGACATGGCGGGCTTTGCGATCGCACTCAATATTATCTTGCAGAAGGAGAACGCTTATTTTCAGTCCATGTGGGAGCCTGGCCACATGGAAACCAACTTTTTGACCGCCATAGGATTGAAGGATCCAAAGCAGATGGAGCCCAAAGCAAATGGATGCCAGGAGGTAAACACTCTTTCATAAGCTGTTTTAGGAAGAAAAGCTAAAATCTTGGATATTTTCACAAAGTTATCCATTTATAATTACGTTTGGCTCCATCCTCTACATCACAAGCCAAAAGTGTTTATGAGGATATCCAGAGATCTTCTCTTGGACCGAAAAATGGAAAAATCTTATATTATTTTAAGAGTTCATTTTTGCCCTTCAATGAAGATACTCAAAATAGGTGAAATCAATTTGGTACTTTGAAATTATATGTTCACAATGCACCAATAGCATCATTTCGGTAACGTAAAAATACAAAAGCATGAAAGAGCATATTTACAGTCGAATACAGATAAATAGGTATTGTAAGTACAAGGAAGTATGTCGTGCAATTTTCTTCGCGTGTACGAGAAACTAAAATATTTGGTTGAAGTCGTATTCTTTGATGTTTTTTTGCATTAAAAACCAAATAAGCACAGAAAGTATCCTGAAAATCCTGAGAAGGGAGATCTGCTGTGAATATTTGTTTTAAGTCAGCAGACAGTTACTTTTGGTTAACAACGATGCTAATAAATTTAAGTGATGCCAACTTGCATTATTCGAGAGCTAAGTCACCAAGACAAGGATATATACCGCACGACAACGTGGGACATGGTAATGCTCATTATGTCCCCGACCAATGTTACATGCGTATATAGATAGACGTTTTGGTCACCGTAATGTTTGAACAAAAATCAAGCCATATGAGATGTATTCACCCTATTTCCTTTAAGGTGATGAAGGATGTGTAGCAGAATTCTCCCACAATTATATGAGTAAAGCTGACGTTTACATTAAATTACACAGAGCCTTGCTTTCCCAAAAGTTGTTCTCACCCAGGGTGGACTGCAATTTCGACCTCGCATCGATCTTATCACGAAATAGGGTGAATACATCTCATATTACTGATTTACTGGTAGTCTATAAACTCTATTCATATACGAAAAATCTAGCCAATCTGACCTAA